GGCTTGCTTAGGGCACCTGGTCACAGCACTGCACTCCAGCACCCCAGGAGAGAGGAGGGACCGAGGCAGATGCCCTTGGTCCTGGAAATATTTCTGTGAGTGGCAGAAAAGAGGTTTGCTTCTCACTTCTGCAGTGTCAGTTATTGAGGAGACTAGACTTGACAAAATGAAGTTAACTTCATTTTCCCCAAGACAATACTGCCTTGAAATAACACCATTTACCCACTGAGAGGCTTCACTCTACACACACTTCTTGGTTATTCTTCAGGTCCCTGTTCCACCCCACATTTCCTTAAAACATTAATTTAGCTTCATCACTCATTCTCAATCACATGAAAAGGCAATGATACTTTTTTGGCAAACCATACAAAGAGAGGCTGCAAGATCGCTTTAACAGTTTATATGCAACTTCTTACTAACTTCTTTTTCAAGAGGGAGAAATGAACAGATAAATTCTTAAAGAGTCAACACAATTCCTTTATTTTCTAGGTTCTGAATTAGCCATGAATTTTGCTTTCATAAACCAAACACTCATGACTATACACATAGTATAAATATATAGACTGGATGCTTTCAGAAACAGAAAGGGAAACTGGTCATAACAAATGAAAAAAAATCAGCCACTCAAAAATACTTCAAATTAATCCTCCATATAAAAATCCCTCCCCAAGCGAGAGTACAGAAGCTGCCTGTTGGGTTAGGGCAGTATAAGAACATACGAACAGGAATATGAAGTTCTAAATTATTCTCTATCTCAGTGAAACTGGTAGTCTTCCTACAAGACTGCCCCTGAAATCACTAGTAGCCTTGTCAAAGGATTGCAAAATCAGACCTGATTGAGACAAATTCAGGATTCCTCAGCTGTGTGAGTATTCCACCCGAACAGTGTTGGCTTTGGAGATCAAGATCCACAGACTGGGGCAGTAAACATGAATCCTATATAGAATTCAAGTTGGAGGACATAATATTCCAAAACATTGTGTGGCCACTGTAGAGATGTGAAGATTGCATTCCAATTCACTATAAATATTGCCTAGTACACCAGGGAATTCAAATATTGAGAAGCAGATAATCTTGATTTTAAGATTCTATTGAATTCTATTGCTGATACTGTTTACTGTCTCAGTATTATTGACATACTTTCTTTTACATCGTAGATTGTCTGTTTTCTAAATAAGGGAAATTAGGTAGTCTTCCTGTAAAGCACATTGCGGACAACACCACTCCATTTATACATCTTAACTGCAGATAAGAATTCTGCAAGTACTTCATAAAAGAATGAAATTAAGGATATCAAGCAGAAGTAAAAGCTGTTATCCATTAAGTTTTTTTTTGGTGTTATTTTCACATGAAGAAAATAGTTTCTCTCTACAAAGCAGAAAGAAAAGAGCTTCCATGGGTGTTCTATGAATTCTGATCCTTTTATATACTTTAAACTAAATGATTTTAAAAATTCTAAATAAGTGAATTTTGAAGGGCCATGTTTTCAGACATTCTGTAAACTGGTCACAGGTAATGCAACTGAATGTGAGCAACTGGTGACAGACAATTCTAGGAATAGCAGTGGTTGTTTGCTTTGAAAAAGCCTTGGTTTTCTGGCTTCCAAGATCCCATACACATTTTCAGAACATATCCAGTCACCTTGATAATGTTTGTTTGAATGGATATTTCAGAAATAGCTTTTCCCTGGTACTGGTAAGCTTGCTATAACCCTCATCCTCAAAACAATGTATTATCAACCCTAACAAGTGACAGAGAAGGCCATATTCCAAGGTAGCCATGAAACTGTTTGAGATGCTACTAATGTACATGACAACTTCTCTCTCTCTCAGGTCAGTTACAGGGCTCAGCAAGGGATGACCAGAAATGCAGTACTGAAGATGATCACAGTATGGATTGCTGCTTTTCTTCTCTATGGTCCAGCCATTCTCAGTTGGGAGTATATTGCCCAAAAGAGCATCCTCCCTGAAGGAGAATGTCATGCAGAATTCTTCTACAACTGGTATTTCCTAATGATTGCCTCTACTATTGAATTCTTTACACCTTTCATCACTGTCACATATTTTAACTTAAGTATTTACCTCAACATCAGGAAACGCACATCCCTCAGAAATGAAAACCTATCACCTTGTCAAGAGGATTGTGAAATGAGTTTCCAGGGGAAAAAAAGAGAACACACCATATTTTTTGTAAAACCTGCTACCAGACACAAACACGAGAAGAAGAGAGCACACAGCCTATCTCCCCCCAAAAAGGCTTCAAAGCTCAGCCTACGTAAGCTTGACAATCAGTCATTAAACTTGAATGTCAATCAAGACCTTCCACCACTTCAGGTGGAAGTCAAGACCGAACCTCAGAGGAATGGTTTCTACAAAACTACAGAAAGCGTATGCAACACCACCAGCAGAGTGGACATTGCCAACACTATGGCAAATAGATTTAGACTTTCTCGGGATAAAAGAGTAGCAAAGTCTTTAGCAATTATTGTCTGTGTGTTTGGGTTGTGTTGGGCTCCATATACACTTTTGATGATCATCAGAGCAGCTTGCCATGGGCACTGTGTGCCGTATTCAATCTATGAGACTTCATTTTGGCTTCTGTGGGTGAATTCAGCCATTAACCCTGTTCTATACCCACTGTGCCACATGAGCTTTAGGAAAGCCTTTATAAAACTCCTGTGCCCAGGAAAAGCCAAAATTCATCCTCATATTTTTATGTGAAAAAAAAAAAATAGCGTCAAGGCTGACAATTAGTACATTTTGCTTTCAGTGGGAGCATAAACTGGCTAATACTCACCTGCAAATATTAAATGCAATGTACTGGGTAGTTTATGTAATACAAGTAGGTACAAGTGTAGATATTTATGAATGTATAGAAATACAGTAATCCATGTAGCTGGAGAAATCACAGCAATAAAGGTAATTTCTCAGAGCTCTTTGAGAAATCATGCCAGCAGTATATTTTTCTGGTAATGGTGCACTAGCATTGAAGTGCTGAAAAGGGAATACAACATTCATGGCCAATAATTAGAGTTCAGGCTTGCTCATTTTAATAACTGTAAATATTGCTGGTAAGGCATTTCATAAAGTTTTAACCTTGGACCTGTTCTATTTTACTCCCAGTCCCACTCTAAGATGCCAAGGGTCTCAGCTGTTCAGTGTAGTGTGCTTTTTCCCCCCTTAGCGGCAAGCCAGACAAGATCAGGACCAGTGCACAAAACCTGAATACTGGTCCAGGAAAAGCATACAACAGGTTACCACAGAAGTGAAGCAGCTGTAGCAGGTAAGGGAGCACTGATTAGAGTGGAAAAGGTGACTGAGAAATACAAGAGTAGTCTTTTTAGTTGAACTAAGTTCAGGGACAGGAACATAAGAGGGTTTTGAGCTTGGTGGTAGGAGATAGGAGAACTGAGAGTTTCCTCCTTCAGCTATGACTTCCTGCTCCCATGCCAGGATCCTGCATAGGCAGGCATCTACTGAAGTCACACTTGTACTTCTTACAGCACTGACAGGTATTACTCTTATCTTTTGCTGTAAGTACAGAGTAAGCATAATTAGTCTACGAGATCTATGACAGACAGATCTTGCTATAGACAGAGCTTTAGGTAAACTTCCCTTGAAGTCATTTTTTACAAAACATTTCCAATTGGACTTTTACTAGTTCTGGATAGTTCTGAAAAGAAAAAAAAACATTGTTTTTCTCTTACCCCACCCATTGGATCTACCCATCCATCAAATCATCACTGTCTTAAAAACAAAGTATTACACAGTGTTTAGACAAGTCATGCACCATGAACAGCATGACCCAAAGTCTGTTAAAATTTACAGCCTTGCTAATGACCATGGGTGTGAAAAACAAGAGTGCAAACACCTACACACTGTTTCTGCCATTCTGCCTCTGCCACAGGAGAGGCTCACACAGCTAGATCCTGAGTTTTGACTAGATTTGTTCCACAAGAGGACATCACTGAACATCACTAGTGATAAAATTTGTTCCCACCATCAAACATTTTTTTCATAGATTAACAGACGCCTTCCTTTGCTGACAAGAGCGATAGCTATTCCATAGCTGTAGTTGTCCATTGCCAAAGCCAAAATGCCTGTTAGTACAGTTGATCTTAAAGTTCACAGACAGTATTTTGAAATTATTTACTTTGTAAAATTTCAATAAAAGTAATTAAGAACTGTGCAAGAGTCATAATAACTTTCTTGAATAGTTAGCATCAGCCATGGCTAAACATATCAACTGTGCCTTAGACTTGTTTTAATTTGCATCACTTGTCTTTCTTGGGTTTTTTCTGTTATTTTCCCCCCTCTTTTCCTTACATCTTATATTATTACTATATCTTTTCAATTGTTAAACTCTTTTTACCTCAACCCAGGAGTTCCTTTTGCACTTTTACCCTTTCAATTAACTGGCATTGAAACTACAAAGCCATTATTCAAAGACACTTCCTAAGTTACAAGGACTGACCATGAGGATTAAACAAACATGGTTAGCAAATACTGTAAACTAGAAGGGCATATTCCTACTACATGAATGTACCTACATGAACATGATCATCATGTTCTGCTACAGATGTCTTCTAACAAAACAATCAGCTTAACGGTTCTCTTAAGAGGAACAGTATCAACAGAAAGAGCAACATTAAGATCTTCGAACAGCATTAGTTATACCACAAGGCAAGTAAAGCCATTAGATTCTCTCCCCATTCCCCCTACCCTCCAAGCCACTTATACATCAGTAGATCAATGATCTAATGGTTGCTTGCTCCATAATTCTTATGTTTCCTAAGATCATATTTGCCTTTTTCAGAAAACAAGTAGCACTAATATTAGACACTCCCACCAAGGTCTCATTCACTATCCAATCAAGCCAGGACAATTTTCACAACAGTGGTTCACTCAAGGTGTAAGGAAGTTCAATCAGATAGCTTTAGAACATTACATTCACTTCAGGTAAAACAGACATTTAAATTTCAGCAACTGGCATTAACCTACAGACTAGCCCAGTCTTCACAGGAATTGCCACTGGCAATTGCTCTACTGCTCCATTTCCTACAGCTTTCTCATTTAATTGCCATTCATCTCTCTAGCACAGACCTAAAATCCAGTAGGATTCTCCACCACTCTCTCAAGATGTCATAAAAGCGTTCTGAAATGTGAACACAAATAATCTCAGCATCATTCAGAAAAATATACAGACTAGCCCAGTCTTCACAGGAATTGCCACTGGCAATTGCTCTACTGCTCCATTTCCTACAGCTTTCTCATTTAATTGCCATTCATCTCTCTAGCACAGACCTAAAATCCAGTAGGATTCTCCACCACTCTCTCAAGATGTCATAAAAGCATTCTGAAATGTGAACACAATCTCAGCATCATTTAGAAAAATACTGGTTCTGAGTTATAAACTTCTACATTAGGAATGCTAGCAGCCTCCCAGCTTCTCCAGGTTAACTATGCCTTAATTTTTCTGTTCCTAGAAAACTGAAGTTCCTTTGCTTTTATCAGAAGGTTCAACATTAGCATTAGGTTCAACAGTGGGCTCTGAAGAGACATGAAACAACAGGTGTTAATAGCAACTTTATTGTTTCACTGGTGCAAAATCATGATACTGAATGAACTTGTGTAATGCATTTTCCCCTAAATTTACAGTAATGAAGGTTATACATATCTATATAGATTGCAGTTTCTCTATTTTTATACTATTTGGAACAAAATTATCTTGATAAATATGCCCTGTGCACAGTACTGGCCCTCACTGAATGTCACAGGACCTTAATATGCAAAATATAACTTCTGTTTTTGAACATGGTATTTTAAAACTCTCCAAACATGCATTAATATATTCTAGTTTTTAGGGAAAAATATTACACTTAGTCTTAACTTGTATTAAAAGAAAAGCACAAGCAGAATCTGACATACAATAATCCCAAAAATCTGATGCTCTGTAAAGATCAGACACAGTTTCAGATGACAGTCACTGCCAGTTTAGAACTCTAGTGCTACAGAAGCAACAGTGAACAGAGAGAAGAGAAATAGAACCAGAAGAGCCTTACCATGTCACATGGATTTCAAAGAAAGTTTCAGCCATGCTAACTGACGAAACCTGTAGTTGCTGGTCCAACCTTTCAAATTTGTTAGAGTACTCAACACAAGTGTTTGAAGTTCCAGACTGAACACATGAATGTTAACTTAACTTGACATTTCTGAAAGGCACAACCTATGAATCTATCTTAAAAAAAACATATGGTATGTAAATGAAAAGAAATAAGTACAGCGTGTATCCTCCTAAAGAACAAGACCTTCATAAATTGGCCCCTCAGATTCTGGTGATTCCCTCCTCAGACGCAAGTGCTCCAGCGTGTTGTGAAAGTGTTTGTTAATCTGTTCTGTTTCTTCAGTAGACTCAAGGTTTGGGAGATCTTCTCTTATCTTTTGTATAAGCTGATTCAAAACCTGAATTGTCACCTACAGGAAAACAGACAGAATAGAAGCCATCAACAAGACCTCTGTATAAGTGCATAGACATTAGTTTTAACTGTCTTGTCTCTAAACTATTGGTACTTGGACTGTTTTAGAAATATTAGTAAGACCATATGCAGACAAACTGTTTCTCTTGCTCATCATAGGACCATTCCAATTTTCAGTTTTGTGGAAGTTCCTCCTAATCCCAGCAAATGCTAAGAGCTTCTTAAATCATTAAACTGATAGCTTTGTAACTTTTACCAACAGCATTTCTCTCCAGTTTAATCAATACAAATTTTAAAAGCTTTAAACAAATAAAGCACATAATCAGCTTGTCTTTGCACTCTAACATAATGTGTTTCTTGTACAAGTCAGTCAGGATGGCAACATCAGATTTGAAGTTATTTTTAGTGAACAAGTCATTACTTAGGAAAGTACAGCTGCCTGTGGTGCCAAGTTCAGCACTACACAGAACACCACAGCACAAAATGCACTGCAGACCACCACTGTATCCAGAGACTACATCTTCCAAGCTCTTGAAACTCAAAGTTTTATTTTCATCTCCATCAGATACAGCATCTCCTATACTACAGCACTACTACAGTGGGAAGCCAGTTCAGCTGCTGGGAAGTTGGCAAATCCCTAAACATCTCTTTAGACATTCTCTCAGAACTACAAGGCATTAATTAACATTTGCTCTTGATCAAATGATGACATCAGATGGAATGTGGGTCTCTACTTGAACAGCTTTTTCAAACGGGATAAGTTTGCTAGTTATCTACTAACAGAAAATGTATGAGGTAACTGCTATCTCAGATTTCAGATGCAAAATTTAAGCTGGTACGTGGGATGTCATATCTACTTCTTGAAATCAAGCCTTACACCAACCATTTGTGGCACACTCAGCAGTGACCTTGAACAGCTGTAAGAATCTTCTTTCCCTTATGTACATATTAAGTGAGGTACCTTTAAAGTTAAAATCTTACTACTTTCTCATTTACGTCCTAGTAAGTTTTGATCTAATCAATATTTCAGGTACCCAAGTCTCACAAATATTTAAGTACATAATTACAAATGTTTGATGTTTTCCCCCAAATAAGAAGAATGAAGTTTTATCTACAATTTTACTAGCATATCAAGAATTGATTACTCTGTCGTTATTACCAAAACTTGTGCCTCTCACAAGAGGCTGCCGAGCAAGTTGAAGAGACATGATTTGGGGTATAACTGCAAGTGAAGAGCTTAAAGAA